TTTTTTTTACAAATACCCCTTTAAGGGTAAATCTCCAGAAAAGGGAATGAAATCAACTGGATAGCATATCTGTGAATGAGAACTACACTGCTTGAACTAATTATAAGATAATATGAAATAATAATAACCAATAACAAGTCAGCTGTTTTCAGAGAATAGTTTACAGTGGGTAAAAGAGTATTTATTTTCTCAAATGTTACTCAGTCTTTTTCCATGGGAGTGCAAATGTTGTAAAAATTAAAAACTGATCAAACTAAAACATCCTAATGCTGCCAAGGAAATAAACTGCATGACTGTAATAATAAGACAAACCCAAATTGAGGCTTCAGATATCAAAGTGTGAAATTAGATCAATTTGAAACTTACTTTACCTTTGATCGTCAAAATATCATATTGTAGATCGTGTTGCAGCTTGAACTGGTCACTGATATTTCTGTCTAAAACCATTGTTTTTATTTTGACAGCAATCTGATGATTGGATTGTTTTAGACCACCAGTGTGAAAAGTGCTTTTATTTCTTATTTTGTTCCATTCTTAGTCTCCTTGACATGAACAAAGACAAGCTAAAAAATATGAATGTGAAAAAATCCATATCTGCCAAAAGCTTAATATATCTGCTGGATCCTAATGCACAGCTGTTTATTCTGGGCCATATTTTCCAAAGTATCACAGACCTAATGGCTTTAAATGGCATCTGCTTTGAGAACTTATCTTGATAAATTAAGGCTCTACAAAAAGAAGGAATGTCATGTTTAAGTTTAAATGACAAAAACTATAGAGAAAGTATCGAGACAGATAGATGGATTCTGAGAAGTCTGTGTCTATAGCAGGGCGTCTGTTGACCCCTGGCTTTTTCTTCACAGACGTACATAGGGTGGCTTTAATTGTTGAAAGGAAAACTCCCTCCCAACTTGCCAATATCCACATCCTCTCTTTCTTGCCCTTTCGATTAATTTTTCATAATCACTTAATGGTTTCCTTTTCCCACACGCTAAAAAAAACAGGCCCATCAGGGCACACTGATCCTTATTCTGGCCTCTCTTGTCAGCAAGGCCTCAGAGGAATTCGTTTTCGCTGAGGAGATGAAGTTGGCTGATGTTTACTACAGATAGTTCATTTTTCAGCACCCCGAGGCTGCTATTATCTTCAAGAGATGAATATTTAGACCTCTTCTGACACAGGTCCCAGCCATCATCCTGAGACTTGTGTGGGATACCGTGTTTTGGAGTTGGCCTGTGACTGATTGATTTGCTGAAAGGCGGAGACGTGGGAAATAAGGCGACGTCCTCCTTTTTCCTTCGCGAGCTACTCCAGCAGTGGGTGTAATTTAGAGGAAGTCTTAATCTCTCAGCGGAGGAGTGGTTGGGTGGTGTTTACCTTCTTACACTTGTGTGTTTATTGTGGCGGTTTGGTGGATTCAGGCCTGGTGGAAAATGTAGGAAGGGGCGCTTTGGCTGGGCTATAACTGTGCAGGAAGAGGGTGAGGTGCTATGAAGGGTTTTGCATCCTGTAGGTCAGGTTGACCAGTCTTATTGTACTGTAACATGGACTGTTTCATATGACTAAACTTACTAACATGAAACTTTGAGTGACAGCAAGACAACCATGACTCCAAGTGCTGCCGGATCCATAAAAGCAGCAAAGAGGCCAAAAACTGTGACCTGTAAGGAACTTAGTCTGAAATATCCATGATTTATGGCCTCTGAGAGAAGAGAAAGAAATGGGGTCTGTTTTCCGGGCCAATCACTCAGTCATTCCATATTCTGCCTCTGTGTATTTGCTCTTGGGTCTGTCAGGGACACTGAGAGGGAGTCATTCCATGTCTCAATCATTTGAAGAACATACCAAGCAAATATAGAACGTTCCTCTAGTGTATGGTTCTCTTTTGATCACATTTTTGGAACACTTCTACATGTATTAATTTAGCAGATCTACAAATGAGGAATACAACAAGCGACTAACATTCCAGGAATGTTATAGGATTTTTGTTTTTATAGCCATGAATTAAATTTGCATATATGTTTTGAGTAAAGAACATATTATAATAAAACATGTATAAAAGTTCACTAAAGGTTATTTTTAGGTTTCAATTTTAATACCCAAAAAGTAATGTTTCAAAAAGTAAAACAGATTTTTTTGATACCTACACATTCATTCTATATAAGGATCTTAACCCTTAGATGCATGAAGTGGCATTAAATGGGTCTTTAACAACCCAAATCTATAATAATATAATATATAATATAAAACTCTCCTGATATTAGAGTAACCATTACAGAAGAATAACATAAAGCATACTTTGTTACCTTTTTGGAGCTTGGAAGGGTTCAGTTTGAGCAGATGTTTTATATCATCATCACTGTCCTCATCAGAGCTCATTTCCCAGTGCATTCAGCATCTGGCTCATATTCGCGTTCTCAAACACATTCTCAAAACTATTTTCAACATCTTCAAAATCAATATTTTGATCGCTGACCAGATCCACCATCAAGTGACAGTGACTCTAATATTTGATTGTGTACAGTACTTGCTCTGCAGTAAATCGCTGAACCATTTCAATATTTTGCTGATGATCCTTCCTATTCTTTTGTTTTCTACCTGCGGTAACTATGAGTGAAACGTCACTTCAACATTGTGTATGAGATATTGCTACTTTGTGGAATAAAGGTGAATTGCACTTCAGTCATCAAAGATTCAATTCTTGTTGTGCAGAAAAAAAAAATTCCTTACACTGTTACACACCTCAGGTCTTTAGTAACTACCTTAATAACCATTGATAAGCATAGGAGTTTATTGAGGCAAAAGTCATAGTTAATATTTAGTTAATGGTAAGAATTTGACCCTAATCTAAAGTGGGACCTATATTCTTGCAATAGTGCAAAGTAAAACAAAACTTTCTTGATCACTCATACATAATTCACATCATAAGAATATAAACACGTATTTTTATTTATTTATAAATAAACACATTTTTGTATTATTATTTTTGTTTTATTAAAGTATACTGAACATAAAGTTGACAACTGGAGCTGTGTGAGTGCTTGGAAGAATAAATGCACAGGCTGGAAGTTCAGACAAATGCCTGAGGACAGGACTCAGTTGATTGCCAGCACTTTAGTAATGCCACAAACAGATTCCACAATCAGCTATGAAAACAAACACTCATGCATTTCCTCTAAAGATACATGTGATGTGTGGATAATGTACATGAAGGCAAGGCAATAATAAACCCCAAACCAATTGCAACTTAATTGTGTACGTCTAAATCCATATTAAAAGCATACACAGTTGCTTAGCAATAAGCATCCAGTTTGTGATAGAACAGCACATAATGGAGAGAGTAATCTTAACTGCAATGAAAAGCCAAGCAATGCAGCAGATACCTAACCGATGCCAGGTGTATGATACTGGAGCCCATTCAGGTGAAACATACAGGCAGAAATTACAGTTTTTATGGAGTTGAGGATTTATTTGATGACCTCTAGCTGAGGTTCCCAGGACCACACACAGGGAGAGATATTTCTTTAGCAGCGTAACATATTTCTGCTTATTGACATGTTCTGGCTACCACATAGTTTTTCTATGCATAACCAAATTTACGTTACTACTCATTTTTCTGTAAATTATTTGTTGTGCTGCGTTTTACTCATCGCTTATTTTTGTTTACATTGTATAAACATGCTAGCTGGGATGTCTGAAACTCTAGTCCTTTAAATTATAAGAACAAACCACTCATTTATTTACATGTCTGTACTTATTTTCGTTTCTAGTTCATTGGAATATACAAGCACCAGATGAAAACCTAATGTCAGCTACATGTTGAAATTTAAACCTCATCTTCATTCACCACTACGAACTAGGTAAGCAAGCCAAGGCAGAGGGGAAAATCAGGCTAGACATGGCTTCACCCCCAATCTCAAATACTCAAATCCACTGACGGGACGACTGTTTCTAGTTATTTCACGGTGATTCACTGTGAGTCCACACATGTTATTTTTATCAGGTCTCTCCTGGGATTGTGCAGCGGATGCAGATGGCTATGGTACAATCTGTTGCAAACCAGGGTACAGGGAAACCCTCGTTTTAGCTGGAAACAGATAAATGGTGCACAATTTTACAGCATAAAATCCATGGTAGCATGTCAGAATGCAATGTTAGAGAAGGAAGGGGTAATATAGTCCAGATGCAAAAGTGATGCAACTAGATCTGAAGAAAAGAGGCAGGGATGTGTGTGAATTTAGACAACGTCTATGCATGTACTGGGGTTAAAACACATGGGAACGAGGGCACCTGCTGTATGAATATGCTAGAAGACAAAAGATGTGCTGGATTTAGCTCCAGAGTTTGTTTCTGATCATTCCCATCTGATGGCTGAAGATTATTGTTCCATTATGGATCTACAGGGGCTTTCTATGGAATGAGAAACGGTGAAAAAAAGAAGAAAAAAAAATCACACACACACACTTTTGGCAGACAAAGATGCAAGGAATGGATGGAAGCAGAGGTGATTTATTATATTTACAGTGTCAAGCTGAAACAGAGGGCCGATATCAAGTGGAGTTGGGCCAATCACATTGCTCCTATTTACAAATCCATTGAGGTTAAAGTCCTAAAAGACCACTGATCTCCAAACTTAGAGGTCGTTCCACACACCACTTGCTCACTTAATACTGTTTTTACTTAAGGAGGCAGGTTGGATGTGACGTAAGTGGAATCCATTCATCCAAGTGTACATTGTCACTCATGTAACTCTCATGGAACTGCATACATTTAGCACCAGCTTTCAGCTGCTAATGGTCTATATCCAGGGTTTTCTCCTGTTAATATCATGCTGTATTTCCTTGTTCGGAGTCTTCGATGTTGCAGGTTACTTGCATGATGGTTTTAGATTGTCAACAAGCAATGCTTCCAGCACAAAAACGTTTCTTTGCCGGCTTGCACTGTCAGTTTGATATACTTTATCTGGAATGATAGGTGCATATATTTGGTAGTCACATGTGCAGTATTATTTCAATAAGATAGTCTAGCTTATAAATAACTTAACAATATATAATACAACTTTATACTTTATTTTACGGGACTTAACATGATACAAAAATATTGATCACAGTGGTTTTTTGTCTTTGCAGAGATTCGAAATGAATGCTATGAACAAGGGAGATTCAAAACATTTCATGGCAATAAATTATATAATCATTATCTGACAAAACAAAAACAAAAAAACAATTCAATTAAAACAATGAAAAAACATGGCTCCAGCCTTAGAAAATTTCTCTCAGTCCTTAATAGCTCACCCCATGCTTGATATGTGGGGTTAAATGTGGACATTTCTTGTCTCCCACTTACTCCACACTAGTCCACATGACTAGCACATGTGAGTCAGATAAGCAGCAGCCGAACATTAGCACTGCTCCAAATGCCAGCGTGTCCGTAAGCATTCAGCGCTACCTGCACTGTTGGTTGTATTTAGTTCAGTCTCCCCAAGTATGTGGGTATACAGTAACACAGTTTCTCACTGAAATACTCATTATCTTTACATCTCCTTTTCCTGGGGTCCAGGTTACATGGCGGCCAGACACAACTAACAATAAGAAAGGGAAAAAAATGGTATTACTATCTGATATTATCACTGTAGCATGCAAGCGCATCAGTAATATTTTGTAAAGGTTTTTAAATAATAAAAATCAACAACAGTCACAGAATTTACTTGAATTTTTTGATAAGGGTAATAAAACTGAAAAATAATAAAAGTATGAAATTGAAGCAAATATACAGTAAATCTTTGACAAAATAAAGGTAAACATAAAAATATAAACTTGTAAGACATTATGGAAAAATAAACATTCCTAAAACATTTCAATAACATTAACACTTTACAAAAAGGTTTCATTTACGTTAACAACATTAGTTAACATGAACTAACGATGAACAATACTTCTAAATAATTTAATCATTTTAATTAGTGTTAATTTCAACATTTAATAATACATTTTTAAAAATGATAATGCACTGTGAACTAACATAAAAAACAAACCATGAATACATATATATATATATATATATAAATGTCAAACTGATTACTAAAACCAAAAAGAAATGTAATGGCTGCCCTGTCATCATAATTCATATAACAAAGTGTGGCAGTTTCATGCAGGGCTGACTATTGTAATGAAAGGGCCTTAATTACCCATAATTCTGCAAAGTGTTTACTGTACATACATTAAATCCATCAACATGTTTGGTATTTGTGTGAATAGCATATGACACTTTGCATAAAACGATAACAACCTTTAATATTTAGCTTTACACGTGCTAACGTAATTAAACTTTAGTTAATCATGGATTTCACATAATTATGGACAAACACAAATGCTTTAAGGCCCCGATATACTTCAAGCGTAATTGAAGAAAGGTTTTGAAGGTTTCGAAATTACATCACACATAACTGATGTAATGTCATTTCGATTAAAATCAGGCCAAAAATAAGAGTTTGTTTCTGGAATTCAAGAACTTTACAGAAAAGTTTGCTTCGGTTGATAAACTCCTGTGAAATAAAATTGCTCCTGAGCAATTATATAATAGGTGGGTGTGGCTCTGAGCAGGGGCGTCATGCAAGCCAAAATTCTGGGGGGGGCACAATCTGAGACGTTGCAATTGTTTTCTGACGGGTGATATGGATCATGTTAGGAGGGGTCAGGGGGTTTCTCCCCCTGAAATTTTTTTAATTCTGGCTGCTAAACATACCATTTCAATGCAGTTTGGGAGGGACAGAAATACCTTAACGGAGCTAGCAGCAACCCTCCTCTATCTGAGGACTAAGTTAAAGTATCTATTTTGTAAGTTTATGTAAAAGACAGGTTGATGAAAGAACTGTAAGCTCAAATTCAAAAGCTTTTGAAGTCTACTTCATTAAAGCATGTTTACAAACACACTTACTGTACACTTAGGCCTACTACACATGATTTTAAAAACAGTACCATTGCAGTTTTTATGTTCCCTTTCGAGGGAACTCGCGATGCGTCACTTGACGCTTTGGGAACGCCCCCAGCGTGCATGCGTCTGAGCATCAATGTCAACTAGTCCAATGGAAAGAATGAGCGTCACGGGCGGGTGACGTCATGACCAGGAAGGGATAAAGGCTCACCCGGTGAAACGCGGCATTAGCTTCTGTGTCTCAGCAAGCGATCTGTGTCATTTTGTCTCTGTCTATTTACTGTTGTCTGTTGCGGAAAAGGATGGAAACTAAACAAGTGTACAAACAGTGTGCTTCTCCCTGCCCGCGTTATTTAACGTTATTTTAGCTTTGTGTCGTTTGTTTGGGAGTGGAGCATGCGGTCTCAGCCTTCGAGGGGGCTGAGTGCCAGCATTGTGAGATATTACCGCTTCGCATGCTCCGCTCTCGCCTGTCACTCTTTGATAAAGAGAGTGGGCAGGCTCGCGATCCACAGGGATCAGGACCCGCGTCTGCTGAGGCAGCGCGGAGAATGCATTCCTGGGGATCGCAAAAGGATCTTTCGGAGGGGTTGGAGACGGGTCCGAGGGCTCTTTCTCCTTCCTTACCCGAGAGATCCAGTGCTCTCTCCCCGGTGTCGGAAGCACGCTCTGCGGTTTCTTCTGCCCGGGGAGAGAGCCCTCCATTACTTTATTGCTCTTCCTCCGAGGAGGTTGATGCGATGAGTGTGGAGAGTGTAAGCACACACATGGGGGAAAGAGATTCACAATTTATTTCCCCAGCATATGATGAGCTGGTGGATGTTATGTCGCGGGCTGTAGAGAAATTAAATATTGAATGGCCATCTGAGAAGAAGGGCGCTCGTCCTAAAAGCAAATTAGATGAGCGCTTTTTATCTTCCACCACATTATCTCCACCACGAGGGCTTCCATTTTTTCCCGATTTGCACAATGAAATTTCTAAATCGTGGAATAAACCATACTCATCACGTCTTTTCAGCCCTCATGTTAACACTTATTCGAGAATAAGAGGGCTGAAAGAGTATGGTTATGAGGCGATGCCCCAGGCGGAAGAGAATTTAGCCAGTTATCTTTCCCCTGGTCCCGCATCGTCTCTGAAAGCCTCGGCTTTGCCCACTAGACCGCTTAAAGCCACTTCGGTGTTAGTGGGCAAAGCTTATACGGCAGCAGGTCAAGCTGGAGCATGTCTGCATACTATGGCAGTGCTCCAGGCTTATCAAGCTGACCTGCTGGGGGATCTGGATAGTAGTGAGGGAGTCAGTCATGACGATATTCGTGAACTTCGTCGGGCTACCGATCTTTCTCTCAGGGCTACTAAGGAGACCGCCAGAGCAATTGGGCGGTCTATGGCAGCCTTGGTAGCTACTGAGAGACATTTATGGTTAAATCTGTCTGAAATTAAAGAAAAAGATCGAGCTTTTTTATTAGATGCTCCGCTTGAACCTTCTGGTCTCTTCGGCGACGCAGTCCACGCGGTCGTCGAGAGATTTCAGGAGTCAAAGAAACAAGCGGACGTTTTTAAAAAGTGTATCCCTCGCCGGGTCCAGCCCCCTGGGACTGCTGGGCGTGAGCAGCCCCAGCCGTCGAGCTCATCATATCGTGTGCATCAGAAAGAGAGTGTTGCGTCTCGTGCACCTCCACGTAGAGACTGGAGACGGACGCAACCCTCTCAACCGAAGTCTTCTAAGTCGAAGCCGGATCTGAGGACCGTTCTTCAGGCGAAGAAGACTTCGGTAAAAAAAAAAAAAAAAAAAAGGTCCTGATGTTCATGCATCAGGCCTGTGAGGACAGCCCCGACCGAAGTGGAGCGGTGTACACCTCATTATACGGTGCCCGTTCCATTTCGGGGTCCTCACGAGACCGTTCTGCCAACCCTGCCACCCTTGGTGCTTCAGGGCGCAGCGGTCTCCAGCGAGTCGCTGATGCTATGCTGCGGCACAGCATCGGTTTCGCGCCCTCTGAGGGGGGCCTTAGAGCGGCCAGTTCAGGTAGTTCCTGCCATTATGTTTCAGGCTCCGGAATTGGCTGTCTCGATAACACCAGAGACCAGCCTCGAGAGGCTGGTTCCCTTAGTAAATTTTCTGGCAGCGTGGAAGCTTCTGCCGAAGATTTCTCATTGGGTCCTGCAGATTGTAGAGAAAGGATACAGAATCCAGTTTGGTTCTCGTCCTCCTCGTTACAACGGGGTGCTGCCCACAGTGGTGCATCCCGAGCAGGCTCTGGTAATGGAGCAAGAGGTAAAGGCCCTGTTAGCAAAGGAAGCTATAGAACAGGTGTACTCACCCGACAGAGAGTCGGGTTTTTACAGCCGTTATTTCATTGTTCCAAAAAAGGATGGGGGGTTGCGTCCCATTTTAGATCTTCGTCTGTTGAATCGTTCAGTACAGAAACTCAAGTTCAAGATGCTGACACTCAAACAGATCGTGACTCAAATCAGATCCGAGGACTGGTTTGTCACGATAGATCTGAAGGACGCCTACTTCCATATCTCCATCCTCCCTCAGCACAGGAAGTTCCTAAGGTTTTCTTTCGGGGGCAAAGAATACCAATATCGGGTTCTTCCTTTCGGTCTAGCTTTATCACCCCGCACGTTCACGAAATGCGTGGATGCAGCTCTAGCCCCTCTCAGGCTTCAGGGCATACGTATTCTGAACTACATCGACGACTGGCTGATTCTGGCGGAATCAGAGCAGTTGGCGGTTCGGCACCGAGGTGTCGTTCTCGCCCATATGCAGATGTTGGGGTTGAACATCTGGATTCTTGGCTCAACGCCAAGAAGAGTGTTCTTTCTCCAGTACAGAGAACCACTTTCCTTGGTGTGGTATGGGATTCAGTGACGATGCGGGCCACTCTATCGCCCGTTCGTGTAGCTGCTATCCTGACAGCCACCAAAGAGCTAAAGCTAGGCCAGTCACGCACTGTGAAACAGTTCGAGAGACTGTTGGGTCTCTTGGCGGCAGCGTCCAACGTGATTCCTTTTGGCCTGCTGTACATGAGACCTTTACAGTGGTGGCTAAGGACCAGAGGGTTCTCCCCGAGGGGAAACCCACTTCGTATGATCAAGGTCACGCGGCGGTGCCTTCGTGCCTTAATTATATGGAGGAAACATTGGTTCTTAACCCAGGGTCCGGTATTGGGAGCTCTTTGCCATCGTGTTACGATCTCGACAGATGCTTCCCTCACCGGCTGGGGAGCGGTAATGGAAGGCCGCTCGGTTCAGGGTCTGTGGAAAAGTCATCATCTTTCGTGGCACATCAATTGCCTGGAGATGATGGCTGTCTTCAATGCGTTGAGACAGTTTCTCCCAGACCTGAGGGGCCATCATGTGCTTGTACGAACAGACAACACATCAGTGGTCTCTTATCTGAACCGTCAGGGGGGTCTGCGGTCGCGTCCGCTCTGCAAACTGGCGCACCAGATCCTCCTGTGGTCTCTGGGGAAGGTACTCTCCCTGAGGGCAGTGTATATTCCTGGGGACCAGAATGTGGGGGCAGACATCCTGTCGAGGCAGGAGCTGAGGCCAGGGGACTGGAGACTCCACCCCGAGGCGGTGGAGAAAATTTGGGAGTTTTACGGCCAAGCAGAGGTGGATCTGTTTGCGTCTCAGCACACGACGCACTGTCCACTTTGGTTCTCCCTTACTCACCCAGCCCCCCTGGGGCTGGATGCTATGGTGCAGACGTGGCCGAGGCTACGTCTGTACGCATTTCCCCCTGTTGCTCTGCTCCCAGGAGTTCTGGAACGAGTCCGCCAGTACGGAATAAGCCTACTGCTTGTAGCACCACGCTGGCCGAGTCGGATCTGGTTTGCGGACCTGATCCATCTCTTAGACGGTCCTCCCTTGGAGATCCCGATCAGGAGAGACCTTCTGTCTCAGGCCGGGGGCACAATATTTCACCCTCGACCAGAGATTTGGAACCTGTGGGTTTGGCCTCTGAGGGGGCCCAACTCATAGAGAGTGGTCTCTCAGCTGAGGCTGCTGAGACCATCCTAAGCTCCAGAGCTCCAGCTACTAGGAAACTATATGCGCTGAAATGGAAAGTTTTTTTTGTATGGTGTCACCGACATCAGTGGGATCCGGTTAACTGTTCTGTGAACACAGTACTCGAGTTCTTGCAGGAGCGCTTTACGTCAGCTTTATGTCCTTCCACACTTAAGGTTTACGTGGCGGCCATTGCGGCTTACCACGCCCTGGTTGGGGGTACATCGTTGGGTCGAGACCCCCTGATTACACGTTTCCTTCGTGGCACATTGAGGCTGAGGCCTGCAACTCGCACTAGGGTGCCAGCTTGGGATTTGGCAATAGTACTAGAAGGCCTGTCTAGGGCTCCATTCGAGCCCTTAGATTCGGTTTCAGAGAAATTTCTTACCCTTAAGACTATCTTTCTGCTAGCTATTTCGTCCCTTAAGAGAGTTGGAGACCTTCAGGCCCTTTCGGTTTCCCCCACTTGCCTTGAGTTTGCACTGGGGATGGTCAAGGCATTCTTATATCCAAAACAGGGATACGTCCCTAAGGTGCCGACCTTGATTCCGAGGCCTATCGTGCTGCAGGCTTTCTGTCCTCCTCCTTTTACATCTGCGGACCAGGAAAGGCTGAACCTCTTGTGTCCAGTGCGAGCACTGGATACTTATGTTCATCGGACATCTTCTATGAGGAAGTCCGACCAGTTATTTATTTGCTTTGGATCACCTAAGAAGGGTCTTCCTGCTTCTAAACAGACGGTTAGTAAGTGGATAGTCGAGGCTATTTCACTTGCATACGAGTACTCTGACCATCCGTGTCCCTTGGTGGTCAGAGCTCACTCAACGAGGGGTATGGCGGCCTCTAAAGCCTTGTTATTTGGGGTTTCCCTCCAAGACGTTTGTGATGCGGCAGGCTGGTCCTCACCGCTCACATTCGTCAGGTTTTACAGTTTGGACCTGGATGCTGCCCCAGGTTCTCAGGTGCTTAGTGCTTAGTTCCAACAGACTGACACTCAGGTACTTGGAATTCTGGCGTTTTGGGTATTCTCGTTCCCAAAGCGTCAAGTGACGCATCGCGAGTTCCCTCGAAAGGGAACGTCTCAGGTTACTACTGTAACCATAGTTCCCTGAGAAAGGGAACGAGACGATGCGTCACCCTGCCATACTTCCTGCTTCCCTGTGATCGGCTTGCTTCGACTTTTTGAAGCTAATGCCGCGTTTCACCGGGTGAGCCTTTATCCCTTCCTGGTCATGACGTCACCCGCCCGTGACGCTCATTCTTTCCATTGGACTAGTTGACATTGATGCTCAGACGCATGCACGCTGGGGGCGTTCCCAAAGCGTCAAGTGACGCATCGTCTCGTTCCCTTTCTCAGGGAACTATGGTTACAGTAGTAACCTGAGACGTTATGTTTAAACTGGTATGTGACCTAAGAACGATCTTACATTAAAGGTAGCCTACATAAAGGTGCTGAGGTCTGACTATTTTAATATTAATATGTGATGAAGGACTTTGAAAGAAGTTTGACAGATTTCAGTGCTGAATAAGGTTAACACTACCCCGTTTATTTGAAAATGGTTAATATTTGACAGAAATGTAAAAAAGTAATCAAATCAAATGCAATATGTATAGCGATCTGTATAACAGTATTAATAATGTAATAATCTGTAGGGATTTGGGGGGTAGTCCTACTATGATATTAGACTACATTAAAAGATAATGAATTTCAAACCTGAACCAAACATATTTTTTAATTCAAAGATCAAAGTCTGTCATTAGTCTTTAGTCTGCCAAAAAAAAAAACCCATTAAAATCATGAACTCAAATGTCATTGTGAAAAAAAAAATGTGTTACTGTTGTAACAGTGTGTAGGCTAAATCAGACCTTTCAGGCTATAGCCTAACGCTAATAAGCCTCATGACAAAATTATTATTACAACTAAATTGTCGGTCATTAAATAGGAAAACTAAATAATTTTGTAGATGATTTTCTTTGTGTAGGCCTAACCCGACATCAGACATTATAAGGCCCGGACGAAGTTTTTTTTTGCACACAGTGACGCGACCAATCAATCACTCCTTTAATGCTGCGTTCACACCAGACGCGAATAGCGCGTCAAATTCGCGCCTACCACGTCTAGTTATAGCCTACGCGTGAACACTTTGAATCCATTCGCGCGTCAAGAGCAAATGACGCGCGTAAAAAAACTAAAGTTTAGACTGGCTGCCTGCACATTCACTGTCCTCGCGGCTGCGGCTGCTGCAATTGGAAGGGGCTGGTTGCAGGACGACTCAACTTCCACGGACAGTTTTTAATATTTTAGTATAATTTTCGGGACAATTAAGGCCGGTTTCGGGATTCCGGACAACAGCTTAGATTTCGGGACTGTCCCGAATTTTTCGGGACTTCTGGTCACCCTAGGGAGGAAAAATCTGAGGGGGCACGTGCCCCCTCACTTTGAATGGGCATGACGCCACTGGCTCTGAGGCTCCCCCTTCTTTGAAGTGGAAATATTCTCTAGTTCAACTTCATTTCTTCTGTTCAGTCCGTCGAGGTCAGACGCAAGTAAAAACATCAACACACTGGACAGCTGCTTTTATAGTAAAAATTCTAATTGAAAGCAACAATTTTCAGATTTTTCATGTTTATTCCTGTAAAGCTGCCTACTTCAAAGTAATATATTCTATAAAGTGGCATATAAATAAATGTGACGTGACTGCAAAACATATGCACACATAGCTATAATCAGATGCTCTCTTATCTGCTGTCATTTTTGTTGTGGAAAGTGAGCAGCACATATTTACACATTTACATATTTACATATGCATCGGAATGTTCGGTAACAGTATATTGCAGTAAAGATTTTTCAAACTTCTTTTTACCCCTAAGCGAAGAACAGAAAAGAACTTTGCCGTGAGTTTATTTGGGCCTTTAGGGAGAACCAGCAACACAGCAACATGGGCTCAACCAATGGTACAAGTTTGGGGTCCAATGCCAGATTGATATGACATCTCTGTCAGTATCTGAAAAGTCATTTTACATTTGATAAATAACAGAAACCTTTTCTCACCTGCATGTGGCTGGGTGGAACCGACTCCCTTTTAAGAAGCACTTGTTAGGAGACTCTGTGCATTCACACACACATTTGGTGCGGTTGAGAGGATGACTCCTAGGACACACCTTGGCGCAGGTACACTGGCAGGTGTCCTTGTTGAAGCTCTGATGAGACCCGCAGGAGGCGGGCTGCGCTTTACACGCACACTGACAGGTGTTCTTGTCCAGGTAGTGCAGTGGTCCACAGTCTGCCGTTCTCAGCTCTTTTCGGCATACACACAGACAGGTCTCCTCATCCAGCTCTTTGTCCGGGCCACAAAAGTCCTGCTCAATGTCTGCAGATGGAGAGAAGAGAAAGAGAAGTTCTATCATGACAGCTCTATGAAGATATGACAGTGTTAATGTATTTGTTCTTGGCGAAATAGATCTGCTACACTGCTGCTACTGATATTACTGATGCTGTTGAGTATTGCTGTTTTTGTAGGTTATTGCTGCTGCTGCTGCTGCTGCTGCTGCTGCAGCGCAAGTACAGGAACTTGCTACTGCCAATACATACACTGATATGCAGCTGTTGAGCAAGTAAGACGTGACATACTGCTTCAGTACAAATAGGATATATAGCAGATCTATACAGGAAGTGGGGAAGGTGGAGGGTTGCAGAGGAACTCTGAAAGTGCACTGCAAACTGCTAAAGTGCATGCTAACTATTTAAATGTTGAGAAGCAAGTTCATTGGCTGCTGATGCAACATGGACCAATCAACTTGTGCCATGTAGATAACAATGTAAATATCATCAGTTATGTTAAAGACCCATGAGTCTGCGCCAGCTAGAGTTTCATGACAGAGTTTCTTATTTTACATTACAACTTATTTTTACATTTCTGAGGAAATCTTTGGTCAATGCTATGGAATGCCCGGCCAATTCCCAGAGTGTTACGCAAGTAAAGAACAATGTCCAGCATGCACATTTGTCAGACATGATAAACTGTTTAGAAATACAGTGTTTCTACCCAGCATTCCTCATGCTACCCCCAAAGGCATAAACAGATGGTTTTTCTTTACAACTCGATGAAAACAAATTCAGTGGCTAATTCAACTCTGCCGCACTATATTGCTTTCTTTGTTTCGAAGTACCCAAAATGGCCTAAAAACTCGACTGACGAGAGAGAGTGAATTCCTATCACTGGTGTTTGTGATTGCTAATGATTAAACACATAGTGGCCACATTACGAAGAATCAACCTTAAGTGGAAAGAGTTTATAAAGTGCCTAATAAACTTTTTGTTAGCATGTTGTTGCTCCTCATGTGCAGGGAATCTTGCAAATGGACCAAATGTTATGTAATTTAAACCAGAATGATTTAAACATTTAGGGGCCAGATTTACTAAACAGGGCAAATTAGCATGAGAGCACAATTACAAAAAAAGTGCCGATGGGAATGGAAAGTTCTGCGTGTGATCTACTGACGTCGTGCAAATTAAAGAACACAGACGCAGCCGGATCATTTCCATAATGACCAACACAATCTACCAACAGCAGTGCATATTAGTGTCTGGTTTAAGACATGCTTTTTTGGGCATTAAATAATGTTGCACATATCAGTAAATTGACGAGGGCAAACCTTAGTAAATCACCTTGCATGATTCAATTAAATACTCTCCCCCCATAAATATTGCGTCTGAAAGGGAAACTTCTACAAATGCATATGCAATAAGGTCAGTCGCAAAAATAACACTGCGTGTCTTAAGTAAATCCTGACAGTAGTTTTTTTTTTTAACACCAAGAGGTAATCATGGCATGTCAATGGTATTTTTAGTGTGGTTTGCAGTTGCCATTTTAAGACATATCTCTTGGGAAACTGTTAGTTACGGTAAATAAAAACGATTTGGTTTTCACTGGAAAGGTACCATGCTGGTCTGGTTTTGTTGCAGTGACCACATTTTAAAAAACTTTCACAACACAGGGGGATTTTTTTTTTTTATGTCACTCTGGATTAAACTCACATATGATTTCATAGAATGTATTCCCTTTGAGAGATATGGGGTTTACCTCATTTACCATACTTGAGATTCAAGTCTGCTTTTGTATTGGTTAAAATAGCACGGAGAGCACATTTTTGCAGGTGTTGGATTTAGACAGTTGTTCTGAAACACTTTCAGGGTATTATGAGGTTGGCTAAATGAGGTTGGATATATAATTTGGTTTATTGGACTTGAGCAGCACAGATGCAATCAGTGCAAGATAATGTTTGTGCAACTGCTTTGACGTGACACTCGTTTTGTCTGGACCTATTAATGCATTCAAAAATATATACAACAACACATCATAGTAATTACCTGAATACACCTCTCGTATGATGTATGTATGACTTGTTTTTTTGTTTTGTTTCAGAATTTAAAAAAAAAATTGGGGGGGGAGGGGGTGGGTCAAAAAGTAAAAAGAAATGTCAAGGTGATAAAACTAGTCCTGCTAACACAAAAAAAGGAAGAAGAAGAAGAAGAAAAAACAATGGAACATGGCAATGTTAGATATTGATATAAAATGTCATGCGGTACACTACACCCTCCATGATAATTCATAAGAAAGAAAGAAAGAAAGAAAGAAAGAAAGAAAGAAAGAAAGAAAGAAAGAAAGAAAGAAAGAAAGAAAGAAAGAAAGAAAGAAAGAAAGAAAGAAAGAAAGAAAGAAAGAAAATGTTTTACCCTCAACAAATGCATTTAAAATGTTTTTGAAAATAATGCTTAAGATTTGTAATCAAGTGTAAGGAAAACATATCATTACTTTTTTACTTAACAGTTTCAACAAATATTGTTTTATGGTGGTTTCAGATGATTTTGAAAAACTTATTACCAGAGAATATTTCTAAGAACTTACGTGTGTACTCGATTTATTTCATTTTCCTTATCTTGGATGCTTGTTTATTCATGAATGACACTTTAACACTCAAGAAAAGAAGAAAAAAATAATTAACCACACAAATAAATATGTAACTGTACATATGCAAAAGAAAAATATTGTATTCTCACAAGCAGCAAACACAATCCAGCCAAAGTTGCACGCTCTGACAGCAATCAGTGTTTTTGCAGTGTTGCTCAGTGCTGGTCAAGCCACACAACTGCTCTCAAAGAATTTCAGCTATGTTTATCTGCCTCAAACGACATACAGAACAGACTTGGGGAGGAGATGGAAGAGAGAGAGAGAGAGAGAGAGAGAGAGAGAGAGAGAGAGAGAGAGAGAGAGAGAGAGAGAGAGAGAGAGAGAGAGAGAGAGAGAGAGAGAGAGAGAGAGAGAGAGAGAGAGAGAGAGAGAGAGAGTACTGCAGACAAAATGACCCCTACACTGTACATCAGTAGCATCAGTCCCTCTTACGTAACCTGCCACTGCAGCTGAGGAAGATCTTGCTACCTTTGAAGTGAGCATTTATATGTTAGAACATATGAAATTACACTGCTGGAAAGAGGTAAATCTGTAGTAGTAGTTAAAGTAATCTGACCTGCAAGATAATGTGCTAGCAGGGTGTACTATAAAGCTTTTCTGTCAAGGACTGAGCCAAGTACTGTAAAAGGTGATGTGGGATATTTCCATGAAGCAAGCAAAAATAATAACAATCCCGACACATTCCTCTTAGAGTGTCTGCTTTAGCAAAGATTAATTTCATCTGTGTTTCCCCCCAACCGCTACAGAGGAGCTGAATGCAAATCTATTATTCCACTTCACTATGACAGTCAACAAAATTGGCCAGCATACTAGCATTATAACCATCTACACCAAATCAACCTGCCTTTTCAAATTTAATATAGTGCCCCAATATGTGTGCAGAAGTTTGCACTCACGCATGCAGTACATATGTGTCTTTTTCGGAAACTGCTATCTGCTCCTCTTGAGACTCAAGACTACATGTTAGCCTTAGGGCCTTCTGACTGCATAGCTTATAATGCTGTGTGCATAAACCAACAGACTGCTATATCCACCTCAGGTTTGACCATGGTAGTAACCAAGCATGTTACTACCATTGCACTGAACCTGAATTACGTCATGCACCACTTGAACCATAAGTCTGGTTTGAGATTGATTATAAGGGTGAGAATGAGATGTAATTCCTTTTTTAATGAGCACACTTTTCTATGGATGTTTTTGTTATAGGTTTAAATTATGGGCAGTTTTCCCTTCTACAGAAACTCAATGTTTTTGTAGCCCTTGTTTTGTTGACACATAGACAAGGGTGTTGATTGCTGAGTGTTGCTTTTTTGGCAACAATTTAGAGTTTATTCTGTGATTGTGATCTGCCATAATGACAAACTATTTCCTATATTACAGAATAGCACTGGTACCACCCATTCCAACTGTATATTCATTCATTTGTTCGTTCGTTCGTTCATTTTTTTGTTTGAATTAATAAATTAATACATTACATATAAAGACATACATACACATTATATATATATATATATATATATATATATATATATATATATTTATATAAATGAATGAATACTTTGAATAATTAATTCATTAATTCATTAAAGTTACTGCATAAAAGTCCAAAGAAATGTGATAAATGAGTCGGTTTGGTATACTTGGGACTTGCCCAATACAAATATGTTTTGCTCAGCAAGAAAAAAAACATTTGAGGGAACTCTGATTACATAAGTAAAATTTGTCACAACATACTTGCATGCTTCAAATAATTTCAGTGCAAGTCATGACATTTGAGAATACAGACATAAATCTACAGTATGATAATTCCTGAAACTTTTTATTTTGTTTGTAAATGGATATGCACTCACCAGCAACTATATTAGTTACACCTTTCTATACTGGGTTGCTATACCCATGTTTGCCTTCAGAACTGCTTTAATTCATCATAGCATTCAACAAGGAGCTGGAAACATTCCTCAGAGAATTTGGTCCACATTGACATGATAGTATCACGCAGTTGCTGCAGATTTGTCGGCTGCATATCCATGATCCAAATCTCCCGTTCCCGTTGAGTCTCGTCCCGTTGAGATCGGGTGACTGTAGAGGCCATTTGACTAGTGAACTCATATCACGTTCAATGAAACAGTTTGCGATGATTTGTGCTTTGTGGCATGGTGCATTATCCTGCTGGAAGTAACCATCAGATGTGCACTGTGGTCACTAAAGTGATAGACATGGTCAGTAACAATACTCAATTGCTACTAAGGGGCCGCTCAAAGTGTAAAAGAAAAGAAAGTAGCCCCCACACCATTACACCACCAGCATGAACCGTTGATGCAAGGCAGGATGTATCCATGCTTTGAAGTTGTTTACACCAAATTCTGACCCTACCATCTGAATGTCGCATCAGAAATCAAGACTCAGGCAACACTTTTCCAATCTTCCATTGTCCAATTTTGGTGAGCCTCTGCGAATAGTTCTTAGTTGACAGGAGTGGCACCTGGTGTGATGATCTGATGTAGCCCATCTGCTTCAAGGTTCGATGTGATGTGCATTCAGAGATGCTCTTCTGCAAACCTCAGTTGTAACAAGTGGTTATTTGAGTTACTGTTGCCTTTCTATCAGCTTAAACCAGTGTGGCCATTCTCCTCTGACCTGATCTGAAGGCATTTTCGCCCATGCACAGAACTGGTACTCGCTGAATATTTTCTCTTTTTCAGACCATTATATGTAAACTCTAGAGATAGTTGTGCATGAAAATCTCAGTAGATTAGCAGTTTCTGAAATATCGGTACTCATACCAGCCCATCTGGCACCAACAACTATGCAACGTTCAAAGTAACTTAAATCACCTTTCTTCCCCATTCTGATGCTCACTTTGAACTTCAGGAGATCGTCTTGACCATGAAATGCATTGATTTGCTGCCATGTGACTGGCTGTAGAGGCGATAGGGTGCTATGCGGCAAAAAGTCAATAATAATACTCTAAAGAAGAGAAGTTCTGTCATCAGTTCTGTCTCTTTTTGGGTCCCTCTTTCAGTGAGTTTGTTTCTTTTTCATACAGTCGCATGTAGACACACATGAAAAACACAGCATTGTAAGGCTGTGAACGTGCATTAGCACTTACCAGAATGCGGTTTTGAAAGAAGGGTGTCGGGCACCGGCTCACATCTGCATAAGCGATTACTCCAGCTGTGATTTTTTGGGCATGTTTTATTTGCCACATGACATCTGTGGAGGAAATAAGTGATTAGCAAGGAGACAGACGGTAGCGTGGGATTTATAATAAAAAAAAAATCCACAATAAAAGGCAAAATAATAGTTTTAATTCAAATTGCGCTGACTCGCATAAACACACACACAAAAAAATAGATGTTGACCTAACTATTATAACTCAGAAACTGATATTTCATCGAGACATCTCTTTTGATCACAGGGTGTGTGTGTAAACCTTGCTGCAAATTAGCCTGTTTGCTTTAGTTGATTCAATAGTAACTTTCAAAGAGGACATGAAAGATGACCTCACTGTCTACAAATATATTTCATTCAGATCACTCACTTCACTTCATTTCTCAACTAAACACACCTCAAATGAACTTTCCTTTTCTGAAGAAAAAAACAAAACAACAACAAAAAAATATATATATTTTATACTGAATTCTTGGTTTGGCATGACTCTGGCAGTCTATCAACAGGATGGAAGAGTCAGAGCTATTTAAGACAGAAGGAAGGAGGGAGTGATGCTATCAGAGTCTCTTGCTGTCCTGCTAACCAGAAGCACATGGAGTAGTTGGCATGGAGGTTGAATGAAGTAGAAGCATACTACAATCCTTTAAATCATGAACAGAACTGGTCAGATTCTTTCAAATAGCTTATTCAGATGCCACAATACTGCAATATGCAGAACCTGATTCCACGAAGTGCAACGTGTTCCTGGATCATCATCTTTGTTGATCCAACATTCCAATCCACCAATCAGATTTGAAGGACAAGTTTACATGTTATGTCAAGTTTAGACTTACAATCAGGGTTAGGTGCTTCTGCATCAGTGTTATTCACTAACTATTTCCCTCTGATTTTAGAAATAATTTATGGGTAGGGTTAGGTTTAGGGAACAGGAATGTTGTTCCAGGATCGACTAAATATGTTGACCAGGAAAGCGTCTAACTCTGCAAAATCAGGACGTGCCTGCAATAAAGAACTCTAAAAATAATTGTTTTCTTTCAAAATGTAGTATTCATTTCATAAGTAATAAATAAAAGTTATACCATGGTCTGTCTGAATATACGATTCTGGTTGGCTGGAAGGTGTGCAATAAAACCGTTTAATGCTCATGTAGTTCCAAGACAGTTTAATCATTGTTCTATATTAATACGCTTGCTTTATAGAAGCAAAGACACGCATACGTCACTCGCACTGTTTTCATCAAAGCACAAGTGTTCATATGGATTGTGCCATTTCGCCAGCTACATGAAATTGCTAACACGCACCGGAAACAAGCAAATTATTTCCATCAGGAAGTTTTCATGAAATCCAGTGCAATATCAAGAAGACAATGTTGAAGGACTCTCACATGATGTCTTTCACTGCAATGTTGAAGGACTCTCACATGATGTCTTTCATTGCATCTCACATGATGTGCACTGAAACATATTTTTGCCATGTCAAGTCATAGACGTGCCAGGATCTACTGCATGTAGGAGTGGGATTTACCGGCAATCTGCTGTTTCAAGACTTTCTGATGCTCAGGTCCCAATATAGCTTTTGTAATTCTTTCAAACTTGTGCAATACACTAAGTATTGCAAATCATTTCTGTAATTCAATGTGATTTCTTACATTTTTAACTACACAAAGAATATGGAGTATGTGACTTTTGTTTGACATTGCTTGCAAAATACATTTTACATCAAGCTTTTCCTTTTAAACACTCCCCCGCCCCCCTAAACTGAACAACCTTTAGAGGTAATGCATTTTGTAATAAATAAATTTAAAAAATACTGCCTATTAGGAGGATCCAAACTAAAGTCACAGACTCGCTCAAGCCCATCTTCTTATCTGCTCTATTATACATCTATCTTCTCAAGGCTGCAGCTAATGGGCAGTGAAATCACAGGCTTCCCCCAAGATAAACTTTACTCTGGCTTCTCTTTTTTTAAGTGATATGAATCCACAAATTTGGAAAGTGAGTGCTACGCTAAGCGTGGATCAACACTACTGTGGACTGCAAATCGTCTTCGATTTAAAATTTCCTGCTTTCCCTGACCCCTAGAAAGACTCCATTCACTACAAATGTCTTTTAGGGGCTCACTATGAAGAGAAGGTGGTCAAAATCCTTTAATACTCACAATATTGTCAGTGCACATTTTCAGTATAAGGGACAGCAAGGATAACTTTTGTTTTGGTTTGTGCACATATTAAGAAAATCTTTAGCCTAAAGCTTTGAATTTTTGCATCAGACACCTTTGACGTGTCAGTTGTCATTTCTTATGTCAATTAAATGTTTAAATTAATTGAGTTGGATAGAATTTAGGTAAAAGCACACAAAGGTTAAGGTTAAATTCAGTGGAATATGTGATAAATATAACAGTATAGGTGATAAAACAAATTAAGTGGGAAGAGATAACAGTTTACATTTAAAATCATCATCAATATGCAGCAAAATAGCTTAATATTTTTACTTAACTAAATATAAAATACACTAAGTACGCTCCTGACAAATATTATTGAAACTGTTCAAATTTTGAGAGGAGGTGAAGAATTGAATTTTGTGCACAACCAGATGTAGCTGTATTGTGGGTTAACTTTGAACTTAGCAAATCTCAAAGTCAAATTTAGACATACCCTCCTCTCTCCAAATCTATCCTGAGGAAATACCAATCATGAACCAGTCCTCAGAGAGCAAACTTTTTTTTTCTCCTGAAATAAAAAAGGATGTTGATGTGAACAATCAGGTTGGGGCCATTCTGTTCTGTATTTTCAAGCCCACTCTATTTATTACTTTGTCACCTCCCTCCCCTTCCCTTAACCACTCTCTCTCTCTCTGTTTTCGTGAGTTAAAGTGGCTCAGGCGTAATGTCAGGTCCCCAGGCAGATTTGGTCTCAGATTTATCCAGTGAAAAGCTAGGCTCAGATGTGGGTTTCCTTTCTAGATCAGAGAGACACGAGACTTCACGGTCTGCCCTCAACCTTTGCACTAAGTGTGTATGTGTGCAAGTGTGTGTGTGTATGTGTGTGTGTGTGTGTGTGTGTTCAGTCTTACACCCTGCTGAGAACTGACTCGGATGTAACAGCTCCAGTTACAGGTCCACTATCATTAACCTCCCTTGGCTAAAAGGTGACAGGTCAGGACCAGTTAGCATGACCCAAGGCTGGATCAGGTCTAAAGAAGGACCATTCTCATGCATAGATCATCCCTCCTGTCTGGCTGTCCATGCAATCACTGCTTTTCCATCTAGACAGCATGGGTGATATATTACCCATGTAGAACTGCATGTCAATAAGGGTTTATTCACACTGCACACAAATCTGATTTGGGTTTCATATCTGATCTTTAGGACTGAATGTCCACACTTTAATTTAGCAAATTATGAAATCTGTTCTGTTTGTTTGTAGTCAATATGCAGAGTATATCCCTCAGTTGTTATAGTAATGATGTAACTATCAACACAGAAAATAACCATTATAGGGGATGCATCGAAATGAAATTTCTGGCTGATACTGATAAGACGATTTTCATGTTATTGCTGATTTAAATTAGTATAAATTAAGTCAGCATAAATTAAGAATAAAACACACAAAATTATATTGATCATCTTAAATGCTAAAAGTAAATTTATGCATCACAACACTCAAAAGTGCTATACATTACATATAATATTGACTGATATATAGGCTTAGTGCATGCCAAGTTGTAAGTGGAAACTGAAAACTGAAAACTGTGATGCATGAGAAAAGATTGGAAATGTGCAAAAACTAACTCTGATTAAACCATTCGATGCATCAGAAAATGCTATCAAAAATGTGGTTTGGACCTGGTGTGTAAAAATCTAAGTTTGTTTGCTGTTCTGACTGAATTTGAGTCAAATACTCCAGAGTATCAGAATATTACTGCCTGTCTGAAGGCATACATTGAAAATTGGAGTAACCATTGAATAAGATGGTTTATGGCAACAAAAGTAACATTAGATAATGACACACGTGTTGATATTGCGTTCCACTGAGCACAGAATATGTGCTTATATCTAATGACAGAACAACAAGCTTTATGAAACAACACTATTACATATCAGTCCAGTATGCATTCTAAACTTGAAACATACCATGCATGCTTTTCAAACAGATGTCGGCATGATTAGCGTTCTAAGGTTGTTTACTTAGAAAAAGAAAAACAGGTTGTTGAATATCAGAACCGTGAAATAAAGCAAATTGCAAACTAGCCCTGAAACGGTTCAGTGGTAAACTACACATGTACAAGGTTCTCAATGTGTTTTCAATTACCATATGCTCAGTGGCATAAAACAACACATTCCTGAGAACAGAGAGGGGGGATAAAAAGGACTTATGATATGGTCCACGCGAGGTGATGCACTTGCACCTTGCGTAACGCAAAACAGACGAGTCCATTTAGTCTAGCAAGGTGTCAAGAAGATAATATATAAGCTAGCATAACTTAGAGAGCATGTTTCTAATACGGCAACACTGTCGTACACGTCCCTTGGCCGCATTGAGACAAATCTGCATTCCCACCTCTACAGTAATTCAACTGCCTGGTCAATAAAGCCCATATGTTGTTTGTTACACAGAGCTGATACGTTCTTTGCTGGGGGCTGTCTGAAGAGGTCTGCGGCTCAACTGATTTACATTTAAAAGGCTAAAGAGGTTATAAATATCCATTTTCCATATGTTAATGTAAACTACGCTACAAGGGATAGTCGGCCTGCACTTTGAATCATGTTAAAATGCCAAAATCAAGGTCGGCTGTTCAAACAAACACATATTTCACAACCTCTTCACTTTATTTCACTACGCTGAAAACACTACTTATCATACCTACAATAATGGACTGCTAAATGTTCCAGTAAACTATGCAAGAGATTGAAATCAGTTGTGTAACCAGGAGATATTTATAAAAGTATAAAGCAGTAAGTGGTGTATAGGTAATTTTATAAAGGTATAGGCATTAAGATATTGATTATGTTTACTGGAAAATCATCCTTTACACCTAAATCAT